TTTTATATATTTTAAGATTAATATCTCTTTATCTAGTCTTCATATCGCATTTTTACATTGATATAATTCATTCAAAAAAATTAAAATCTTTAAGTGAATGTCTCAAAACTTAAATCTAATATTCATTTATAAAACAATACTTATTTACTAATAACTTTAGCCCTTATAATTAAACTCACCAACTATTTGGGTGTAATTATGACTATCAATTCATTTGTTAAAACAACCAAAACTATATTCAATTTGACTAATGTTTTTAATTTTTTTCTTAAATAAATGATAATGATATTTAAAAATATCAATTTATAAACAAATTTTAATTTATTAAATAAGAAATATAAATTATTTTACTAATTATTTTTTACTCTTAACAATAAAATAAAATAAAATAAATATTTTTTTTAACACACTTTTTATGACCTTGACAAATAATTGGTGTTCATAACACACCCCAGATATTTGTTAACTATTGAATCACATGAGTCAGCTAAAAATCAACCCTTCAATAAAGTTTAGTGAATCATCAAACCAATTATTGAGGAGCACTTCCAGCTGCGATGAGCTAGCAAAGTGTACCAACACAACACAACACAACACCCACGACATTCGCCAGGATTTTAGCCTCTTGAGCGACATAGTTGTAAAAATTTCTCCATCTCCCCTCAATTCCCTGTGCTCAAAAAGGCAAATTAAAGCAATTTGAGGCAGGTTCGTACACAACCATAGGATCCCCACGGTCACATTAATATTTTTTTTATTTATTATTTACTACCAATATTTTTGAGATCATTTTTATATATATATTTTAAAATTAATTTTTTTAAATATTTTTTAAAATTTAAAGTTTATTTTAAAAAATAATATTTATTTATCAATGATAATATAGACCTCACATCGCTGATAATGGCAAGCAGTATCGCTCTTATTATTTGACCCGGAATCCCAACTGCAGGACCATGGTGCATCGTCCATATCTGAATGAATCTCAGGCATTCAAAACCGGTGGGCCACAACCCACCTGAACGCCTCACTCTCATGCCCCTTGTCCTTGCTCCCTTACCGGACGGCCGAGATCCTCACTCCGGCCAAATCAACGTTCATAATCGGCTGCATTACCTGGGTCCCATCACTCTGTGCGGCATATAATTGGTGAGAACCAGGATTAAAAAAGAAAAAGCCAGTTAAGCTGTGGACAAGCATCAAATCATGAGTGGGATTGGTTATGATTGATTAGAACAGGATAGATAAAACCCATTTTCATTTAGCCTATCAAATTGGGTCCGTCCCCACTTAAAAAAAAAAAAAAAAATTCTTCTCCTCTTCCCCATGCTATTACCACGAGGGGGTCCAACGGGGCGGTTACTGGAACAAAGGCGTCGCTTTCCAGATCTTTTCCTTCTTTTTCAAACACGCGCATCTTGGAACGTGGCTTCACGCTCTCTCTTTTCGATAAACCTGACTCCCTCGCTAGTTGTACTCATCAATTGTGACCGTGACGCAAGAATAGGCGCGTGGGATGAAAATAATCTTCAATAATTGTGTACACAACTTGAATATAACTTCTCAAATGGCTTGACGGCTCTTCCAATTTCTATTGAAAAAAATAGCTTCCCAACTTACGTGTAATTCTTTTATGGGTGTTTTTAGTATAGTTTAAGAGTTTTTTAAAAATATAAAATAATATTTAATTTATTATTGTGTGTTTTTTAATTTAAATTTTATTAAATTATAAAATAAAAATTATTATATAAGAGTAAAGTCTCTAATATTATAGAGTTTGTTTTTATTTAATAATTATAATAGTATAATTTGATATAATTTAGATTATGTAATATTTTTAATTAATTATTTAATTAAATTTATTTATGTATTAATAATATTAAAATTACTATCAAGTTTCTATATTTTTATACAAATTTGTAATAAAAAAATATTTTAAAACACATATTACAAAAATCTTTCTTTTATATATACAAAATATTTTTTGTGTAATTTAAGTGTTAAAATTATCTAAATGCAATTAATGAATAACGTGGTAAGTAATTTTATTAATAATATTTTAATAATTTTAATACTTAAATTTTATATAATTTATATTAAAAAATAGTTATTAACAATATTTAAAAAATAAAATATTTTAATAAAACGTAATGTAATTTTTATTTATTCTTTTATTTTAAATAAAATATATAATATAATATTTATTTATGTAGTATTATATAAATATTGTAATTTTTTTTTTGAATAAAATTACAAATATGGGGAGGAAAAAATCGAATCTCAACTTTCGAGTTGAGAAAATGCACCTTATAATCTGACATATAACCATGCGGTGGTGAGGCCTAAGTGCAAATATTGTAAATTTTTTGTTATAAAAAGGTTAAAAAAGATAAATTAAAGCCTTCTTTTAAGGCCAAAATATATGGAGCTCACAAGTTGAGCCGAGTTGGGATGAAATGAAAGATGGAAATTTGTCAGTCAAGGGGAAAAGACAGGTGAAATTTGAGCAGAAGGAGAAAAAAGGCAAAGGGGGACAAGGGAGAGTGGAATTCACGTGGGGGTGGGGAGAGGAGAGGTGCGAGAAATGAGGGGGAGGCGTGGAAGAAGAAACCTCTCTTAACTCACGTGGACCAACATGTCTTGTCTGGGGACACGTGCTCAGTGGTCCCCACACACACCCACACGGTCGTGCGTGTTCACTTGTCCCTTCACGCCCCGACAACGCTCTTGCTCACAATCATTTGAAACTTCCCCCCCACACCCCCCCCGGTTCCGCCATTACCACTCTCCACGCTCCTCCACAGAGCGTGCCTTCACTGCTGACTCAAATGAGTAATTCAATTATTAATCATTTTAAATTTTAAATTAAAATCTCAAATTTAAATTTTAAGTTAAACATTTTAAATTAAATAAAAAAATTTTAAAAAATAAAAATTATCCTTTTTATATAATTTATTCAGATATATAAAAAAAATAGTTTGACGTACACGTGCAGTTATTACGCTGGTGCGTTGCAGTTGGTGAGTTGTGACCGTTAACATTGTGTGTCCGACCTGTATCCACATTGGTCTGTCCTTATCCCCAGGTTTTCATGCAAAAAATGATTCCTACCTGACAATGCAAATTGACGAAAAAGCCCCCTAATGTTTTTTTTTTTTTTTTTTGTATAAAAAAGCCACCTAGTGTTGAAATGACTAACAAGACCCACATAAACTAGTCATAATGGTCTAATTACAGATCTAACATGCTTTCATCATTGTCGCAGAGACTATTTCCATCCTCCACCTTTTTCTTCTTTATATTCCTTAAAATATGCAATAAAATAAAAATATAGTGTAATACAAAAAGTATTTTGTAATTTATTTGTAATTTGTTCTATACAAATTGTGAACAACAATAATATTAGTATATAAGTCTTGTGATCCGATCATTATATATTGCATTATAAAGTATATTTCAAATTTTAGAATTAGAGTTTAAACTCTTTCTTCTAAAATTATAATTTATTCAAAAAAAGTAACAATAATAGCATATTTAGAAAAACTAAATTAATTATAAGACTGAAATATTTACTATTCATATAAGACATATTACCAAATATTAATTTTTTAAAATTATATAATTTAGATTGTATAATATTTATGTTGATTAAATTGTACATTTCAAAAAAATTAAAATTGAAGACATTGATTTAATTAGTTGAATTTAAAATAATAAAGAAAGGGGGAAGGGGAAAAGATATGTGATGTTTGAGGGGGGCAAGTGACTAAATGATTGGTTAGGAATATGTCATTCAATGGGTTGGTCCATCTCCTCCACTTTACCGTCAAAGAAAGCTTTTGAAAACTAGTGTCTCATTGAGAGCACCAATCATATCAAACTTCTAGAGAGAAGAGAAAAGCAATTGAAGCTAAAGTTGGACCTTAATCTCCAAAATCTAACCATATCAATTTCGGACTTTGTAGGAATATGATTTACACGAGAAGAGAAAGTGTGAGTACGATGAAATTTTGGAAATTAATGCTACAATATTACAAAGGGTAATGAATTTTTTCTTACCATATTCTTTTTTTATTTTTTAATGAAGAAGTTAAGATTTTTATCACCAATTATCCTTTTGCATATGATGAAAAAGTTGAATTCCATATGTTGTTTTAGGTTCAAGACAAATGATGGAAACATTTTCTAGGGATGATGATAGTCATGTCAATTTGTCTTTGCATTCGAAGGCAATTTAACTTTTGAAGAAAACACACCCTCAAACCCCTTGTTTTCGCGCACGAAAATGTATTTTATTACAGACATAATCATTATCAATTGCTTACCAATTTGGACTTTCCCCCACTCTTTTGCTAAAGCTTTAGGCTTCATAGACCATGAGTGCCTGCCTCATTGAATTATATTATTAGCATAATCTAGTT